TTTACTGTTCAAAGCCCATTTCCTGTGCACCTTACTGTATAGCCGGTGACAAATTGTTGAGTGCGTTTGTCATTTGTTTTGCTTGACCGATTTGGGGCAGTGACGCATGGGGGTTCTCAGCTGCCATTGGGATGTGCGGGATCCCTTGTGTGTTGCTGTGCTTTTAAGGAGGTTGGGCTTCCTCCTGACAAACCTGCACCCAATTTGAAATTTTCTGCCCCCATGTGCTCCAAGATGGAGACTCTCATAGTTTAGAGTTAGGACCGCACTATAAGAGGTGCCTTGGCGCGGCTGTGCGGCTTTCACATTGTCTGCAGAAGACGTGTATCCAAACCTCTGTTATGAACCTTAGTGGTGAGACAAGTTGTTTTACATGTGGGTTTGTGAGTGTGCCATGATGCCTTTCTACTGTTTTACTTTTCTGAATAATGCCCATTTATTATAGAGTAAAAAAACATACATGCATAATAACACCATGTCAGGTTTAAACTCAGGAGTTAAAGGAGAACTATGGAGTTAGGGCTTTTCCCCATAGTTCTCCTTATTGTAACGGGAGGACACAAACTAGCATCCTCCCGTTACCCTAAGCTCAGTATACCGCGAGCTACAGCTCACGGTATACTGAGACGCTGCAGCTGAAGCGGATCCCGACAATTATGTCTGGATCGGCCCAGCTGCGTGAGTGACAGCTGGCTCTGCCTATCTAGAGGCAGAGCCAGCTGTACCCGCCCCCTCCCCCGTCTGCTCTGCCAGTCAGCGCTGGAGGATCGGAGCGGGGAGGGGGGAATCCAGTCCCTCCGCCGGTATGTGTTCGCTCACTTCCCGATCTACTGAGCCGACCTGTGACAGTTTCATTGTCACAGGTCGGCTAGAACTATGAGGATGAGTGAAAAGCACTCACCTCATAGTTCTCCTTTACATCTAAAAAATGCATTCAAGGACTCTAACTATTAACAAAAATGTATCGTATTTGTGTATCACTCAGCTGTAGCTCCTCAAATCATCTCTGAGTTCATGCTGACACTGTCCTTCCTTCTGGATGGTGGCTACTTTTGTTCCCCATGGTCCCTGTGTATTATGTAAAGTAGCCACTTCTTCAAGCTCACTCCCGTGATAGACTACAATCTCAATACATATTAGTAAACCAAATGTGAGATTGTAGTCCATCATGGGAGCAAGCTTGGAGCGGTGACTACTTTACATAATACGCAGGGACCATGGGGAACAAAAGGATCCACCCTCCTGTATTTATGATGGACTGTAGTGATGGACTACATTCTCATGTTTAGTTTACGTATTTGTATTGAGATTACAATCCGTCACAGGAGTGAGCTTGGAGCAGTGGCTACTTTACAACACACACAGGAACCATGGGGAACAAATGTAGGCTCCCGCCAGAAGGAAGGACAGTGTCAGCACCAATTCAGAGATGATTTGAGGATCTACAGCTGAGTGATACACTAATAAGACACATTTTAGTTAATAGTTAAGGTACTTGAATGCATTTTTATAATTTAACTTCTGAGTTAATTGTCACTTTAAATGAAGACACATGATTTTAATCTGTGTTATAGAATAACAAAGTAGCATTTTAGCATAATTTAATAATTGCGTATCTGTATTGAAGAGTGTAACAAATTAATAGATCAATTCATGCTAATTATGTGCCTTACCATTAACATATTTCTTCTACACACAAAAAATGTTTTAATCTATACATGATTTCAAACCTTATCTCAAATATATAGTTTTTTTCTACACTGTCGATAATCTACGGAATAGTGTCTTTTTACATTATTTGTAAAGCAAATAGAAACGTGTTCACATATTTGTAAATTATTTGCATTCATTATTCATCCATGCAATACAACTGCATGTACATTTGTTCTGTGTGAGTTGTGGTGAGACTGGGGCACAAATAAATGTCCATAGTGTAATTTCTCTTTTGGTCTCTGTTGGCCACTAGATGGCGCTGATGATCTTACTAACATGTATTTATTTCCTATGAACATCAGCACCATCTAGTGGCCATAATGTGCTATCTTCCGCATTCAAAAACATTTGCGCCATTCTCACTGCAGCTAATTCATTTGCACAGATATATGCAGCTGGTGTTTTGCTGGGTGAATAAGCTATGCAAATGTTTTTAAAAAATAGACCCCTTGGTGTACATATACTTAACTTTATGGGGGCATTCCTATTTAAAGCTGAAGTCAAAAAGTTAAATACACTGTTAAAATACATTTATGTGAACTGTTTTTCCAAGCAATTGTAGTTCTCCAGCCAGGCTGTAATACTATGCAGAGCACCAGGACCCAGGCCGCTATAGAAATTTCACAAAGCCAACCCCACCTGTGACTGGACAGTAATGTGGTCATGCCTGTGCTCTCCCCACTTGTATGTTCCCTGGCACAAATGCACAAAGTAGATTGGATTGGCTGAAGGTGCTGACCCTAACTGTCTCTGTCCGAGTGATGCTGTGCAGAGGACTGATCTCTAGTTAGGCTTGTTTCCAAGCAAAAAATAAAAATTGTGACAATATAATAGAACTCTTAAAGGAGTTATAAAGTCTTTAAGCAAATCTTGTTAAAACATCAACATTGTAATAGGAATACATACTAGAATTGTTTTATGTAGTGAGTGTTGCCTGCTGACTACCCATCACTTTCAATACTGTCCTGGATTCCCAGTGTGCTTTGCAACTCTTTCCCTGCTGCTTGATGTGATACAATCTCCATTTCTCAAGACTACATATCCCATCATGCATTGCTTCCAGCAAGCAATGATAATGTTACATTGTATAGACGCTGAATGGTAGTTCAGAAGGCAGGCACAGAGACAGTTGTGAAACAAGAAGTGCATATTCACAAGGCTTAGTGATTGTGTCAATGCATTGAGGAAGTACATCCTACGGGTATCTTCAATGTTTACAAACTTCTAGATGGATATGGTTATTAGGAGTGGGAAATAATTAAATATAGTAATACACATTTATTGAGAATTGTGTGACTTTTCCACTGCTTAAAAAATACGGCACATTTATAAAGAACAAAAAGGTAGTTCACAAATGTGCTTAATGTTTTACTTGCTTCAGGACTCCAAAACAAACAAAGCTCCATTTATATAAATACCTGAAATAAATACATTTTGATTGTTAGTACTGAGTCCGGTCATTTGACCTTTTCTCCTGCTATCAAGTAGTGTTCTAAGCAGAGTCAGGCAGAGAACACTCAGAAGGACAGACAGTATAAGCTCCTCACTACAGGCTGCATATTATTTATTATTTGTTAAATGAAGGCACATTGTGGAGTAAATACTGCAGTGTATCCACTCTGTAAATTAAACAGGCCCCTTAGTTTGCAGGCCCCTAAGTTTTGTGCGATTCATTTTGTTCCCAATTTCCAAATTAGAAATGAACAAATCCGAATGTATCCAAATTTTCAGATAATGAAAAGTTCGGATGTATTGGAATTTTGTTTCTAAATGTCATTCTGAATGAATTTATATTGTTAACATTTAATTAAAGTCTCATTTTTTTGCATATATCTACTGTTAACAAGCAGTAGATATATGCAAAAACATGGAAAGAAATTAAAAAGTTACCAAAAAGGTGATTACTTACTTGTTTCTCCGGAGCTCGCTCCCGTATGCAGATCTGAAGATTTTTGAGGGGCCATGAAGGATCATGGGGCATGTGCATGCGCAGTAAAGATATTCGGCCGGGAGAAGAGGAGAGACACAGTGTAAGTCAATCCACGTAGCCCGGCAGCGTGCATGCGGACAGACACCGTGGGACACAGGAGACACAGCAGACAGCGCTGGATCAGAGACCGGCAACAGCGCTGGAGGGATTGCCGGAAACAAGTGGAAGGATGCTGATGATTGGATCAAGAGGCATCATTTAAGGTAAGTCCTTAAAGCACCATTGGGGGGGGGGGAATGTCACTTTAAACATTAAAATAACAAAAAAGTGTGGAGTTCCCTCCCAAATTTATAAAAGGTCTGGTAGGAATTTTAGGGGGAACCCAAAGCCAAAAAAAAACAAACCAAATGCATGGGGTCCCCCCCAGCAAAGCATCCTTCCCAAGTGGCATGTGGCCTGGTATGGTGCAGGAGGGGGGGCGCACCCTTCCCTGCTCTGCCAGGTTGCTGCTCAGATCAAGGGTCTGGTAAGGGGTTTTAGGGGGGAACCCATGCTTTTTTTGGCATTGGGGTCCCCCCTAAAATTCCTAGGAATTGGGGAGAGGACTCCACGCTTTTTCTTTTTTCTGTGGACTGTCAAAAGTTAAAAATAAAAATTTCACTTTTTTTTCTAATGTCACTTTACTGCAAAGAAAATTCATTCAGAATTATCTAACGCATCCAAAACTAACAAAGATTTCACATTCGGACGAATCTGAATGATGAAATGAATTGACTTTCGGACCTGAATCCCAAGAAACAAAATAAAAAAAAATATTAAATGAAATGAACAGAATTTTTTGCCAGTACACATGTCTATTAGATTGTTAAATCACAATGTCAGTTTATTACAAATTCTCAGAAGAACGTTGTCACTGTATACCCGAAGGTGCCTGAACAAGGACTTTTATTGCATGATCACTGGATATTAGTTTAACTAAACCTTTAGAATTACAATATATTCCAAATGACTTGTGAAATTACATGTTAACACATAAATGAGATTTTACTGGCTGGGTTTATAGCTAATTTAATTTGGGGACATGTCTACTTAGAAACATTTGCAGCTATAAATCCCTTCTCACATATTTCATTTACCGCACGCACAAAATGCCAGTCACCAGCTGAGGGCGATGTGGAATCGAGCTCATCTTCCTTCACTCCGTGCAAGCCTGACAGCCACCAGCAGAGGGCGCTGCAGCATTTTACACTTCACATGTTGTAGGAACTCAAAGTGCGGAACTTTATGTTCATGTGTCTCTAAATCGAGGGACATCACTTTACTGAACACTCTACTTCCGGAGCGGGCCTCTGCCAACATGGAACCTATGTTAGAGCAACAGCGGCGCTACCATGAGGAAAAAGAGCGACTTATGGACGTCATGTCAAAGGAGATGATGGCGAAGAAAGCCACGGTGAGGCCCGGGTGTGGAGGGATCAGAGATGGGACCTGGCTGTATACAATGAGGAGGCTGAGCAGCTGGTTTACAAAGCGGAGCCGGCCCTGGAAATGCTCTTTATTTCTTATAGTGTGCAGTGATTGGTCTGCTGTTATGCTTGTCGATGATTGTAAAGTTGATGTTTACTGTTAATGCAAAAAGTAAAGTATTAGTATATCAGGACATTTTCTAATGATCAGACAGTACTGTGTGTAAACACAGGCTTACAAGCTTAATTTGATTGGATAGTTTATGTTAAGGCCCAATTGAACATTTACTTTAAAGCAGAACTCTGGGCAAATCAAATCTTAACCCTGCACTGCAAGGGTTAAAGGGTTATTAAACCCTCACCGTGTCTGCATATATCTACTGCTAGCTTTTCAAACCGGTTTAAACTTACCTGTGTCTTTGCCGCGCACCCCCAGTCCGAACACACTTGGAGAGTCTTGGGCGGCCACAAAGCATCTTGGGGCGGGCGCATGTGCACTTCAGATGTTCAGCCAGGAGACGAGGGGGAGACACAAGGTAAGTCTATGGAGCAGTGTGTAACTGCACTGACTCTGTGGGACGTTAGGGAAGAGGAGGACAGAGGAGTCAGTGCTGGATCGGAGACCCCCACCAGCACTGGAGGGACAGCTGAAAACTACACCAAATAAGAAGATGATCGGATTAAGAGGCATCATTTTAAAGCAAGTCCTGACACTAACATGGGGGGGAATTAGCCTTCAATGTCACTTTTTTAGTGCTTGTTTTGTGTAGGAAGCTAAAATAACAAAGTTATACTCACCAGATCCTTGTTCCTGGCTAGCTCTCAAGACTTGTCCCTATAGCCTCACTCCCCCTCTGCTCCACCATTCTAAGGTCCTGTGAGTCATCTTGTCCTTTACAGTGTATACAGCGCAAGGATGCGAGGGACATACCATCGCTGGAGGAAGCATTATATGGGCCAGTGTGGATCGGGGTTCTGGTGGATTTAACTTTATTTTAGTTCACTTGATAAAACGAGTGCTTGACCCTTGCAGTGCTGGTGTAGCCCAACTGCAAAGGTTAAGATTTAATTTTCCCAGAGTTCTGCTTTAAATCGGCTAAATACATTCCAGGTGCATCAAAACACAAGTGTTCAAGGTCTTTGTTTTCTTTCTAAAGCAGCCACAGCGTGGGTAAAAATGCCTGTCCCCTGCCAGAAGCTGCCAGTGGGACCCTTGTACTCTGTGTGGAAGTAGTGGTCTCATTGCAGAGGTCCGACACACTTCTTGCTGCATAAGACCTTCATCTCTGCAATCAGACTCGCTCATGTTCCCTGCAGATTGGAGAGTAGTGTTAGGGTGTGTCGGAACTCTGCAGAGAGACCACTGCCTCAGCACAGAGAACCAGGGTCCTATCTACTGCATGCCTAGGGAACAGGGTTTTCTACTCAGTCTGTGGCTGCTTTCTAATGTCAGGTATATATGGTTCCATTTTTTTTGCAGGCCACTGTCAGAATTCTTGAACAGAGCTACCAGCTGATTGACTGCTAGCTCCATGTGGCCAAGAATTTTCCAACCGGCTCCTTTTGATCAGTTGATCAATGGAAGCTGGACGGAAGGGTGCCGGCAGTGGCATCCACAGTATGGATTTCGGCTGGTTCATCAGTAACCAGATAAAGTTCAAGCCGTGTGTATCCGACGTAACTTTAAGACTTTGCACACCTTTAGTTTTGTTGCATCTGTAATGCACTAAGTTGATTTAAACTGAAAGTTTGTGCGCTTTAACTTCTCCTATTACAAAGATATGGTAAATCTAAAGTGGATTGTATAAAGTATTGTAGTGTGTGTACTGTAGTAAGTGTCATGCACTTTGCTGTAAACTGATGCAGCCAGCAGGACATTTCCCTTCGCACCTAAAAATACACATATAGACATGGTCTACAGCTGGCCATTCACTGCTTAGATTTTCAAAAGAACTTTCTTTGGACTTTCTATTAGTCGATGAGGTCAAATCGGTGCTCCATTTTGACTGTAGCACTCCTTACCAGAAAACCACCTTGAGAAATGGGTGCTGTAGTGACTGCAGATGGTGCCGCACAAATCAGAAGAGAAACGATGTCACCAGCACCCCGCAGGAATGTGTCCCAACGAACGTCTTTTTAGTGACTCATATGGTCACAGCAAAAGCAACGTTTCGGGGCCATGCAGGGTCGCCATTATCAGGCTCACTTTGACCTACCCACACTCGGCATACTTGGCCTGATAAGGGGACACTGCATGGGCCCAAAATGCTGCTTTTGCTGTGAGCATATGCGTCACAAAAAAGACGTTCATTGGGACACATTCCTTGTTTCTCATTAGACAAAAAATATTGTATTTTTCTGTTGTGGATTAGTTAGTGTAATACACTTTCTCTATTGGTAATGTTATAATAAGTGTTTGTTTCACTGTAGTTACGGGAACAGATCAACTCCGATCACAGAGCACGAGCTATGCTGGATGTGAGTATTATTTATTATACATATTTTCCTTTTTTCTTTTCTGTTAGTATAGCTGAAGTCTCACTATTTATTTATTTTTTAAATCTTTTTAGAGGTTCATGGAAGTGAGCTCAAACTTAAGAGATTTATATGAAGATAAAGATGGGTGAGCATAATTCCAAAATAAATGTGAATTGGTTTGTTGCTAATGATCTATGGATGCCTGCAGTGGAAAAGTGTATGGAAACTTTTAAGTATGGGTAAAAAAAAGACTGTTCCTTTTTTGGCGGTTTGATTAACCCTTTGACTGACAAGGATGTATCCTACAAGTTTTTGTTTTGAAGCCTCTTGTTTTTTGGTAAAAGTAATCATTTACTAAAAGACTGCTTATAGTTTTGATAGTTTGAACACGTATGGCATGACATAAAAAATTGCAACTTCCATCTTTTTATTTAACAGGTTCTCTGCTTTCAGAAAATATATAATGTTTTTAAGGGTTTTATGTAAAGGCAAAAATGCAGATTTTAACATGTGTGGAAAACCAGGAAAATTGGTTCATTAGTCAAAGTGTTAAGTATTTTCACTCAACCTCATAGTTCGAGCTGACGTGTGACAATGAGACTGTCACAGGTCGGCTCAATAGATCAGGAAGTGAGCGAACACATACCGTCGCTCACTTCTTGATCCTGTCACTGCAGAGAGCCATGACTGTCACTCACGGCTCCCTGCAGGAATTCCTCCCCTCTCCAATCCTCAAGCGCTGACTGGAGGAACGGACGGGGGAAGTGGCGGGTACAGCTGGCTCTGCCCCTAGATAGACAGAGCCAGCTGTCAATCACCCAGCTGAGTGGATCTCGAGAGCAATGTCGGGATCCGTCCTGGCTGCGGCGGTCTCAGTATACCGGGAGCTGTAGCTCGCGATATTATGAGCTTTGGGTCACGGGAGGATGCTAGTTTGTGTCTCCCGTGACCCTGATGAGAACTATGGGGAAAAGCACTTGCCCCATAGTTCTCCTTTAATAATTGCCACTATCTGCAAAGCTAGTCATTATTTTTAATTGTTAGCTAACTTTCCTTAAAGTGACACTTACCTCAGTTAAAATTTTAAAAATACATTGAAGTACCTTAACAACAACAAAAAATGTATCTTATTTGTGTATCACTCAGCTGTAGATCCTCAAATCATCTCTGAATTGGTGCTGACACTGTCCTTCCTTCTGGTACTTAGATGCATTTTTAAGATCTAACTCCTGAGTTTAGTGTCACTTAAACCCTAAAAAAACAACGGTTTTTGTTTGGCAGAAAGAGGATAGTTTTCGTTTTTTTGGCATTGACACAATAATTCTTGTTTTCTAGATTAAGAAAGGAAGAACTAAATGCAATATCTGGCCCCAACGAGTTTGGTGAATTCTACAATCGACTCAAATTGATTAAAGAGTTTCATCGGAAGCATCCAAATGAGGTGAGTAGTTTATTGGTGTGGTTTTAATAGTTTTTTTTATTCCAGTTTTGTTTTTAGCAGGTAAAGGACCCCCAAAACCTATTTATCTTATGTTGAAAACAACATATACAGTATGCCCACCTGTGTAGTACCCATGTTTGCTAGATTTTCTCATCTGAACATGTGCTGGGTAGAAAGGGGCATTTCACTTTTAACCTAGTAGCAACATCATTGATGTGGTTGATCTGTGCCCCTGCTGATAATTGATCTTTCTTCTGGAAATGTTATTGATATATTTTCCAACATAACTTAATAAAGTGAAGGTTACATCTAATAACCAGTCCAGAACCTCATTTGCCTACCTAGATCTAGAAGTATCCATTGAGGTTTACTGTGTGATCAAGGAAAGATAAAAGGAGACAATAAATATGGCAGGAGGAAAGTGATTTGTTAAAAACAAACAGATGCAGAGACTCAGGCAACTGATGTTATGTGCATATTTCTACTAAAATTCCTCCATTGCTCCACTTCTCCCTATTGGATGTCTCGTATCACAATAAAAGTCCTATATGGAAGCTCAGGATAGTGTTGTTCCCAGCTGAGCTTTTAGGCCTCATTCACACGAGAAACAGCCAGCCCGTAAGCTCCATGCTGCGTGCACAGCCGTATCGGGCAGCTCTTGGGACGGACAGGTGTGGTGTCGGATTAGTACACAGCTCCTGTCTTTCTCTATGGGACTACGCTGCCCTACGCTCACCCCAAGTGCTCGTGTCCTGGCTTGGCCGCACTACGTACTAATCGCACGCAGCACCTGTCCTTCCCTGGAGCTGCCCGATACGGCTGTGCACGGAGCTGTACGTGCCGGCCGTTTCTTGTGCGAATGAGGCCTTACAGTCAAGTCAATGTTTGCATATAGCATAAGTCAGCTGCCTCTTTTGATCTCCTGATTGCTTTCACATGCAGTCACCCCTGCTTATTCAGTTTTCATCATACAATTCATTTGCTGCCATTGCATTTTGCAGATTTCCTTAATATAAACAGGCCAGGCAACACAATTGAAAGTAAAGCTGCACCGAAATTAAAATTTTGAAACCTGAAAATAAAAAAAATGCCAGACCGAAACCAAAAACATTTTTTTTTTTAATGTTTTCATTAAATATTTTTATTTTTTTAACTTTACTGCTGTGGGCTTCGGTAAAATATCTGGGATCTAAATAGATTTCCCCTTTAAAATAGGAAAAGAGATTGAGGACACAGAGTCCACAATCTCTTTTTCTGCAGCCCCTGTTATAAACAGGAATGCTCTATATGGCGTGTTCCTATTCAATCATACATTGTGGAAATAGTATGTTTTATTATGTACACAATTATGAACAAACGGCAAGTAATGTAGATCACTTCTTCATTCAGAACTGGTACATAGTAACTCATACTATGTCCAGTTATTTACAATCAGCGATCACTGACTGCTTTACCGCTCTGTCTTGATTTACTGTCACAGCTGAGCTGTCGATGTGGGGAGGAGAGCTCTGTCTCATTTGACAGCTGACTCCTCCCCCTTACCTCAGGCGCGGTCTCCAGTGACAGCTGTCAACGCCAACACACCACTCTCCTGATCTGTGCAGGAGGCTAAGCGGGGTGGAGGAGAGCTCAGTTTCTGTGACACGCTCACAGCGCTCTCCTCCCCACACCACTCAGCCTCCTGACAGTTTATTTGCTGGATGCTGCGCTGTGTTAGTGGGACACAGCAGCGCCCAGCAGGGAGGAGAGAAACCAGGGATGCACCGCAATTTCAGGTGAAAGATGTTATTTTGTTAAGTGCTTTTTTCGGCGGCTGAAATTGCGGTGCATCCCTAATGGAAAGTACAAGACTTTTTTCACCAGGCTGTTATGATTTGCTAGAACGACTCTTAATTTTAACCGTGAGTTCTGATGAGCGCTTAAAATAACACGTGCATTATAATTTATTGAATTGAGCCTATAGTACTGTTGAACTCTTAGTTTCCAGTTTATTTTCCTTCAAATACTTTCCAGTGTTTTTGTTAAAACATGGAAGTAAAGTAGCACAATTCTGTATCTTTGCTAGATCTGTGTCCCCATGTCTGTGGAATTTGATGAGCTGCTGAAGTCCAGAGAGAACCCAAGTGAAGAAGCTCAAAGTAAGTACTTGAGGGTATATTCTGTGATTGGTTTCTGGCCCATATGATTACATTAAATCATCTTCATTTAGATATTAAAATTATTAGTAGGTATTAAGAATAAAAGCTAGGTGTTCTTGTGTTTTTTCCTTTGGAAAATCTGATGTTTTATGAAGTAAATTCTAGACTAATGCTGGCTATACTCACAGCAAATTTTCTGTTTGTTTTAACCAGCTTTCAGTTGTTCAAATTTGCCAAATTGATTAATGCAACCTACCAGCTACAGCTTCCTTAGAAACTCCAAAACAATTGAGACCTTTCAGGTTCCCTTTTTATCTGTTACATCATCTATATGATTGAAAGAGGTTGAACTTGCTTTAAAATTGCCGTTTATATTGCCAATATAAAATTCATATGGTTTCAACCACCATGCAGAATTCTTTTAGTTTCGCAAGAATTAATTGTTCCATGGCAATCAATATTTTGGTCTTTTGCCTTCCTAAGCTCCTCTTTTTACTGTGAGGGTAAGCAAAATGCGCTATAAGCTTTTACTACGGTAGTACTTGATATTGTAGGACCAGTGCATTGTAGGAAAAGTTTACGACAAAATGAAATTTAAAGAGAAATACACTCATCTCCATCTGAAAATTCTAGTTACCTGGGTGTTATGCTCCCTGCTTAGCCAACCTAGAACAGCAAGTATGACAACTAGTAAAATCATATTTCCATGTCCAGGCTGTTTGTTATTTATTCATTACAGGTATTTATATAGCACCAGCAATTTACGCAGTGCGTTTACAGTGCACATTCACATCAGTCCCTGCCCTCAAGGAGTTTACACTCTAAGGTCCTTATTGCACATGCATACATACAAAGGCCAATTTAGACAGGAGCTACATAACCTACCAGCATGTCTTTGGCGTTTGGGAGGAAACCCGGAGGAAACCCACGCAAGCAAAGGGAGAACATGCAGTGACCTGGCCAGGATTCGAACCAGGCACCCCCAGCAAGGCAGAAGCGCTAACTGCTATGCCACTGTGTTTACGGAACTTTTACAAGTTGTAGAGAAAACAAACATATCATATCTAGCTATGAACTCCTTTTTAAGATACTTCAACTACCTCCATTTTTTTCCCCCAGTCATTATTG